AATGTGCCACCTCATGCATGAGATAGTAAAATACCATAGTTCCCGATAAGGTCAGGATGGACTCGCCGTGCGGTGGCAGAGTGATTTTTCGCTATGGTGAGATCACACTTGTCTATGTGCTCCATCTCCTTCATGTTGCTCTCAGCCACTAGGCCCTTGCTCTGGCCCTGTTATCCCGGCGGTGCGGGCCAAATCGTATTAAAATCCCCACCGTCCCTCCCTCCTTTCCTCCCTCCCTTGTCCCCTCCCCTCCCTCTCGTCTTTTCAGACAGACTGCTTTTGCTGCAGTGAACGGTAGCCGTGGGGAGAGAGCGAGAGAGAGATAGATACAAACAGCGAGTGAGAGAGAGAGCGCAGAGGAAAACGCAAGAAAAACAAGGAGACGGGAGAAGGAACAGGAAGATTTTTAAAAAGTCGATAAAAGCTGATTCAGAGGAGGCTCCGGACAAGCGACTGCTGCGCATCAAAGGAGGGACCTTACTGGGACCTTATTGGAGACAAGCGCCAACAAAACCCCAGGCGGAATAGAACGGTGTGTGTGGTTATTACCGTGCGTTGCTTCGCAGTTTGTGTTGTCGGACAGGAGACTCCTGTCAGTGCTGACGCCTTTCCGTCTCTAGGAATGTGTCTGTGTGCGGACTGTGGGTAGGTGGCTGTGTTTGTGCGTGTGTAATCCGTTATGCCAGCCTAGGGAGAGAGCTGTATAATCCCTGCGTGTTGTAGAATTTACTCTGAATATACGTTTTGTTGTCGGGCTGCTGTTGTCTCCTCTTTGGCTTCCCTCTCAGCTCTTTTAGGTTTATTGCTCTGCAAAAAGCATCAGCGCGCTGTGTGCAGCAGCCACCTCTCCCTAGTATCTAAATCCCATCCCATTAGTACCAGATATTTTTGCAAGCGCGGGAGAAGGTGTCAGAAAACACGCTCTGACCTGAGAAACATTGGTCTGGTGCCCCCGCGGTCCGTCGCAGCGATGCAGGCAGCCACCACGAGCTGTTCTTATTGTTATTATTATCAGTCTTACTATTATTACTCGCTACCTAAGAGTAGACCCCACGAACTTGGGTTAAATCACGCGCCCGGGCTATTTCTCATAGATGCACTTCTTCTAGTTTTGTTTTCATTCCTCGCGTCACTCAACAGGAAGGGCAGGAGCAACAATAAACACAGCCCCTACCACACCCAGTCCCCATATCCCGTCCCATTCCGTGCCCCCACCCTACTCTTTCAACCCATAACGCCCTAGCCGCCCGTCCCGCAGCTCACGCTCCAGCCGGACCGGTGCCCTCGGAGCAGCCACAGTGTGCGAGCGTTTCACAGATGGACCGAGGGCTCGCCTCGGACCAGGCTACTGCTATTTTAAGGAATGTGCGTGAGAGAAAGGGAAAAAGGGGGAGAGAAGGAGTGTGTGTGTGTGTGTGTGAGAGAGAGAGAGAGAGAGAGAGAGAGAAAGAGAGAGGAGAGAGCGAGTGCCTGAACGGCTGATTTATGCACGTCTGTCCGTCTTCAGTCTTATGCAGCGCGCACCGAGTATTCCCACCGGGCGACAGGTGCATCTCTCCACTGCTGCTGTTTTGTCCCCCCTTATTCTTCTCTATTTTTCTCTCTACGACTGAGAATGCTCCTTTGCATCATTTCTAATTAACCTGAGTTAGTTGCAGCTCTGTGATGGGCTATCCAGAACAGTCGTTTTTCTTGGCTATTACCGCCTACACATCACCATCATCACCATCTCTGCTGTTAGGCTCAATCACCGCCCCCCTCTTCTGCCCCCGCCTTTCTCAATCAGGCTCAGTAGCCTATGGCCGGCATGACACAAGCAGATCGATGAATACCCATGGAGCAACGCGTTGAGTAAGGGGTGGGCCAAGCGTTTATGCAGCAGCCAACCGTTGGCAGGGGACGCAATTAGTGGCCAGTCGGCCTGCACTGTTTTCTTGATCTTTCCACTGCTCTCCCTGCAGGTGACACTCCAGAGCTCCTCTGCCCTCCTGAGGATTCAGTGAGACAGGCGGATCTGTGCGCCCGACCATGGCCTTCCCATCAGCCCCCTCCGCATTATGGAGTGTCAGCTTATTGACAGCACTATTCCTAGCTGCAGTTCACAGCAATGTTGTCTATGGTAAGCACCCATCTCCCTGTTTATCTATCCAGTTTCTGTTCTCTCTAATCTCACTGTCTCTCTCTGGGCCCCTGACCTCCCGACCCTCTCTTTCTGTCTCTGGTGGTGCCCCTTATCTGTTGACTTGAGGCTTTTTTGTAGTTTCCTGTATTATGACAACAGAATCAGAGAGCTGTTAATAAGCATATGGGACATTTCCACCTCCCTGGACCTCAGTGGAATTTCTGCCATTGTTTTTGAGAAATGTGTGTGACTTGCACAAGAGCACAGGGCACCACACTGCAGGTCCATGCTGGTACAGCTCCCTCGCCCCATAGCTTGCTTCCCCCCCTTTCTCTCCCATAACATCTCCAGTTACTCTCAAACACTTACATAAGAAGTACAAAAGCAGGCACACAAACATACACTGGCGTTCTTCCTTTCATGTTCACCTGCTAAGCATCTCTGTCTTTTCTATATTTGCATAGATAATATCTGTGTCAGAGGTTCATGCAACCTGGAGATGGCAGTAATCATCTTGTATTTTCTCAAGCAGCAACACAAGAGTGTAACACACAATTACAGTACAGACATCTGTACTGACAGACACTCAGCCAGACACTCGTCATGGTTGAAGCTCAACCTGTGAAGAGCTGGACACGGCTGAAAGTGGATGGAAGCAAGGATTTGATGAGAGAAGCACTTTATGATGATATCATGCCTGCTGTGAGTGAATAGGGATAAATTGTCCAATGTGATTTTCAAATTACACAACACTCAAGTGACTGGCTGCCAGTAATACAACCTTTAGAGGGCAAATTGTTCCACTGGCGAAATGGCGCAGCAAGATTGGCCTTCAATCCATAGATAATTGATTGGCACAGGTAGAATCCTCTTGGCATTTTCTCATTACAGTTAGGATTTAATTGGCAAAGAACCATAAGATGATACAGCAGGCAAGAAGGCTTCACTAACAGACATCCTCAGATTTGTATTTGTAATATATGTATATTCTCAGATGTCCCTTACGCTCACTTGTGCACACCCACACAGTTTCACAAATCTGAGAACATGTCTAAGTGAATAGTGCATGTTTATACATGACTTATGTTTACAGCGTACATGTTTATGCACACACCACATTCACTCTGCTTCCACTTCATTTATCTACATCAGCTTTTTTGCTTTCATGTTTCTGATTTTGAGTGAAAGGTGGGGAAGTGGAATATCGCTAGTGTGCGCTCACTGTGGTCAGTGCAGTAACATGTATAAAATTGTCCGGCTGCTCCAAGAAGCTCGGATGAGGTCACTGCTAAACAAATGCAGATGGAGGCTTGTCAAGGCCATGAAAGCTGTTGAAGATTAGAAATGCATAAACATTCTCCAGATTGAGGTGCTGATGATGAAATGTCAATCTCTCATCAGAGTTCTGACCCCGGCCACGTAGCTTGTCATTGAAACTCAGACAGAGGTTCGTTATTTGAGTCCGAAAATGATTTTGGCTTCCATTCAGACAAATGTCACATTTGATTAAAGTGTGCCTAGTGGGAGGCCTGACCATGCATGACCAATTCTTGCTTTGGTTTCACCCTAAGCACTGTTTTACATTATCATGTCAGTCAAGGAGAGTAATTAAGCCTGGGACGTCTGACGGTGTTTAGGGGATGAGAAAACATGTCACAGATTGCAGTTGAGAGGAGAAGGGAGGCAGAGATAGAGTGCTGTCTTTACAGACTTGGAGAACTACACTAAAACAAAACTCATAACATTTCTGCAGTGAAATCAATAGGAATAGCTTTTGTCCAAAAAGCTTAGAATTTGAATTCTTAGGATTCTCCAGAATCAGAATGCCTAATTTCACCAAGAAAACAACAGGAATTTGTCTCGGAGGCACTGGTGCTCCAAATACTGGCAATTTATAGATTTTCTAGCTGGCAAACAAGGAACTCAGCTCATAAGGGACCTCACATACAGCACGAAGGAACAGTAGCAAAATTAATCTGACAGGGAATGATATTTATATATAGGAATCTTGTGTTCACTCTTCTGTAGTTTCCAGACATTTGAGCAATATGGCAAGCACTGGTGCTGCAGCTTCAGTGGGAAATACTGTGTGTAAGATGCAGAGCACTGGTCCATTGCTCACATCTGCTCCATTCTGTCTGATTGGTGGTGTTGTGACAGCACCAGAGCAGGGTGGGCAGTCAGATAATGCCGTCATAATGGAGATCTCCATCCTAAGAGGCCCTGGAACTGAAGGGTCTACTTAGCATAAATAATTCAATGTTATGTATCAGAGAGGAAAAAATGATTAACTCATCAAATCAATGCAAGAGCAGGTGAACAATCAGGGAGGAGGACTCCCCATCACTGCTACAGTCCAGACCATCATTCAAAAAAAGGAAAAAGCAATGATTATTACACAGCAACCAACAGACTGCATGTCATTTGAATTATTGACCAGCCCTGGACTCCCAGCTCTCCCACTTCCACTGCCTCATCTTCTTTGGATATATGTCAAAGTCATGGAAAGGACAGCACTAACTCTTTTTCCTGGATTTATCTGTGACTAGGCTTCCTTAAAGAAAGTGAACAAATTGGGAGGCACTAATTGTGCACCATTTGACATATCCATTTCCACAGCTGGATGTGCAGCCTTGTGCTGCGGATGGAAAGTGCCTCTCACAAGGGCTCAGATTGGGTATGCATTTGGCTGGCTGTGCCCTGGTTCTGTACTGCTGACCCAGTTACTTCAGGGTTGCTGTGGAGTGTGGAGGGTCCGTCCACTTGAGCTCTCAGTAGACAGCAAGTAGAGCAGCATGCAGTGGCCTCCATCAGCCACGTGACTCTCAGCTCCATGGGAGCTTGATCCCAGACCCTAGGAGTGTGCTTGCATTCGTGATAGGAAGCATGCTTGGTTGTTTTTCTTTTTTGTTACTTTGACAAGTTCTGCTGGTTGGATCAATTGAATGAGGCCTGATGCTTCCAGCTGAGGCCAATAATGAATAAGGATTAAAGGGCGGGAGCACTGTGGACCAGTTGTTAGTGTGGTAAGATTTACAAGCGGGAAGGCTCTGCATGTGTGTGTGTGCTTCTGCCAGCGGTTCACTTTATCCTGCCATAAAATAGGCTTCTTTCCCCCTGGACCCGCTCTTTCTCACTGGCTCAATTCCCATTTCCTGTGTGTGCTGCTGTTGTTTACTGTTGACTTCCTGTGTGCCAAGATGGGGGAACATTTGGCTAATACATAGTACGGCCAGCACACAGCAGCAGTGGGCGGTTTAGATGGGAGGCCTCTGCCTGTTAACAAGGCTGAATGATAAGCAGTGACTCATTAACAAGCTGAGGTACACAGAGCCTGGGGGAATTACCGCCTAGCTACTGTGACATTAATAAGAGGCCTAGGCTATTTTTCCAGTGGCACAGGGCTAAACTAGCGGTTTCCAATCTCGACCCTGGCTATTTTCTGGCTCCAGTGCTTTTCCATTTGTTTCAGCCACTGGTCACCTGCTTTGATTAGAGTGGGGCAGATCAGTATTGTCAGGGTGGGCAGCAGTTAATGACATCTGCTGCTTCAGTGAAAAACTAGACACCCTCATTAGTTCTTTTGTAGATTAATTCAGAAACATCTGGGGAAGAGTCCATTTAATTCTTCTGAAGTTGATCATGCCAGTTAATTAGCAATATGTTTGTCTTTTAAAAGAAAAACAACATTGACATAATCCATTGCATCCATTGGTGAATCTGACATTACATAGATCCAATTAGACTTCTAAAACACACTCATGACAACTTGGAGAAGAGCAACAAGCAGCTGTCTCCTATCAGAGTTTTAAATTCAAAGCCATATTACTCCCTTTGTCTTGTGTGTTTATTCATCTCTGATCTTTTAAGTGTTTTGCCGTCCAGATCAGTTTTGTGATTATAAATTTGATCCTGATTGGCTGGAATTAGTTTGCAACAGATTCACATCTGGCAGAAAACCAATTATTTCTCCTGTTCATCATGCCGATTAATTAAGGCTCTGTGGCTGATTGATTAAACCCTAACCATGAGCACTAGAGCCCTGGGGATGATTTGCATCACACATTATGCACTTTGCTGTGTATTCATGTTATCGTCATAAATCTCCTCAGACATACTGAAATATTACACATTCTTAAATGTCAGGAAGAAAAACTCAGTTCAACAAGGCAAAAGTGTTGATAAGTAATTTGTGGCTAAATTAGGCGGAATTAAAATGCAGTGGTGCACCGGTATCATCTTGAAGGTACAGGAGCACCCAAACAAGCCTCCATTAGACCCCAGCAATCTGAGGCAGATCTCATACACCCAGGCCCACTCAGGTAATGTGAGATTACATCAGAACAGATCAATCTCACCATCATAATAACAGCAACTGTGATTTAGAGACTGAAAGAAAGAAGGGCTCTTGAGATTTTGTAAAGTGGTGGCACACTCAGCTTCCTCTCAGGCCCTTTTAAAAGATATCATTCCGCAGTAACTCAGGGTCGAGAAAATTAGGGGTCCCGCATTTGTAGAGCTGTCAGCTTTAAACCATCACTTCACAAAGACACCGCCGATTAAGCAAACCTAACAACAACGACGCCAGCCTTGGAATAAATTAACTCACCTCATTTCCAACAAGAGCCCTTATTATTGCACAGCGCACTAAGCTGGCTTTTCACTTTGATCTCCCCACCCTCAACCCCAGTCCCCTCTTTCTCTGTTACCTGCCAGAATTCTCCAGTGGGTGTTTTAATTGATTGTTGTGGGGGTGGAAATCACCCATCCTGTCATTGATGCATGGCTAGTCAGACCAAGGACTTCCTGGGAAGGTGGATCTGTTTGTTGAAGCCCATCACTGTGCCGTGTGAAACTCCAGCTATGATGGGGTGCCGGAAGAAGCAAGTGCATGGCTGTAAAGCGCAGCATTTGTATTGATTGAGTCTGAGTGCTGAGGGTTGCCCCTGAGCGCAAGAGCTCCACCAATGAAAGAGCAGAGGTTGCTCTTGTTTATT